TTTTTTTCACTAAATTTTGGTTGTTTTTTCTTCTGTGAATTCAGTTGAGGCAAATAGCTGTAAACTTTGCAAGGTGTGGTAATGATTCCAACAGATTTTTGTAAAAACTTGCTTTAGTGTCAGAGATATGCTGAAGCAGTTCTCGTGTTGTTGAGAGTATGAAACTTCATAGAAGAAAAACGAATTTTAGTGAGGAAATGCTCTTTGAGGAACGGGGTTTCTGCTTATAGTGCGTCAAATATGACAAACTGATAAATCAGCAATTTCACAGAAGCTTCCTTCATTTGTAGTTTTCTTATTATTCTTGCTTCTCTTCCGCTGCTTTGTCCTGACTTCTACGACCCAGTTTAGGAAGTTTTAAGGCAACCAGGTGATCCTCGTTTTTTGGATGAAATCAGAAAGGACTTGAGCAGGCAATTCCCTCAACACGTTATGTTTTCTCATAGTGGACCGTATGGTGAAGGAGGGTAACTGTTTAGATTTTAGTTGAGTTTATATCACTAAAACCTCTGGACTTTATTTACATCTTAGCTCAAAACATTTATAGGAAAAGTGATCTGTTTGAGCTCTTAAAAGCATACACTATTTTGCACCCTGAAGAGGGATACTGCCAGGCTCAGGCTCCAATTGCAGCTGTTCTTTTGATGCATATGCCACTGCGAGATGCTTTTTACTGCTTTGTTCAAGTGTGTCATAAATATCTCCCAGGTTACTTTAGCGTCGGTTTGGTGAGGAATTTCAATTTTCAGTTTTTTTGATAAGTTATCAAAATCAGTATTGAGTGGCACTTGTCGTAAAGCAAAATTTTTGTAATTTTATCTGGTCATTCATTACGAATATACATTTTTAATAAATTTTAGGAAATGATTCAAATAGATGGAGAGATACTGTCTCAGATTTTGAGCAGAAAGTCTAGAAGCTGTTACTTGCATTTGGTGAATTTCATGTTGACTCGAATTTTTTGGGTTTTCATGTCGTTCAGAAATTTTATTTCTTCATGTATTAATTTAAGTAGGTTTTTTTCGTTCAGAGGAAATACCATGTGGAGCCGGTTTTATACATGGTCGAATGGTTCATGTGCATTTATTGTCGGGCATTACCCTGGCCGACAGTTTTGCGGGTATGGGACATGTTTTTTTGTGAAGGTTAGTGGTGCTCTTACATGCTTGAAGTACAGTTTCTCAGTGTCTTTTTTAGGCATTATTTTAAAATTACCTTTAGCTGCATTGAGAAAAACTTCTACTTTATTGTTTTAGGTGTCAAGGTTCTCTTCAAAGTTGCTGTTGTTCTTGTTAATCATGTTTTGGGGTCTCGAGAGCAGAGGAAAGAATTTGGCGATTTCCATTCTATAGTAACTAGACTAAAGAATCTGCCTGAACAAATCACTTCAGAAGACTTATTTATTGATAAAGTGAGAGTTTTCATTTTTGGTTTTTGCAAGCGAATTCGTTTACCAGTTTTTTTATAATATTTTAGTAATAGTTTCTTTGTTATCTGTTTATTTGTGAGATATTGTATTGTTAGACGATTTTTTGCTTATTTTTAGGTAGTGAATTTGGATCTCGATGAAGAAGAAATGGAGAAAATTCACTACAGAATAATGAAAACGCGTCAGATGCGTTCAGCAACGTAAATTTGCTGGCAGACTTATTCCTTCATGTCTTTCCGCTTCATTTATGTCACTTTCTAAAGCGGGTAATTCTTCTATCGATTTATACGTGAATTCAGTATTTTAGTAGAGATGTCTTTTTATATTGTAAATTGAGGTCAATGAAAATTATTGAGTCATTGCTGTACAAATCGTTAGGTGACTTCTCTTGAGGTTGTCAGTATTAGTTTTTGGCGA